GAAGATTAGACGTAAAGCACTCCATTACGATTTTATGTTGGGTGTATCCTCAGACCACAGGTGGTCCTCTCTTCCAGTACAGCGGTACCGATAACTGGGGTGTTCACATGTGGATGGCGGAGGGAAGGTTGTTTGCTTTGTTCTCACGCAGGAACTACAAATCCACATTGTATCTGTTTTACGATGCTTTGGCTTTGGCTTTTAATCAGTGGCATTACGTGGGATGCTCGTATGACTTCATTTCCGGTGAGGCAAATTTATGGTTAAATGGAGAATCGGTGGTAAAGATGAATATTGGAAAAGAGATTGAACTTGCCACTCAAGATGAAGTCCGAATTGGTGCTGTCAACATGGATGAGCGATACTTTCAGGGAAGAATCACGGCCGCACAAGTTTATGACGTGGCCCTGAACGCTGAGCAAATAAAAGCCGTGGAAGGCGTTGGTCAAGACGGTAATTATTCTAAGACTTTAATTTATGCCAACTGATAACGTCCGCATAAACCAGTTACCACGGTACCGCCATTTTTTGGGATTCTTATGATTCTTGCACAGTGCTTTGTAGTTTACAGTCTAACGAATAGAGCGTCTTTGACCGGGTGTAATGAGGGAGGCCATTTTACTGATAGAAGTCTATGTGTTTGTAGCTGATGTTTGTGCAGACAAAAAGCCCTGTCAGAATGGAGGAGAATGCAGAAGCTCTGGTGACAGCTACACCTGTTCTTGTCTTGAAGGATTCCAGGGAAAAAATTGCGAAAATGGTGAGTAAAAGCTTAACCAAAAAATCCGTCAACAGTGAAAGTGTGAGGATAAAATGCCTCCAATACTGCGATACCTTTTTAGAAAAAATTTCGACAGGTTGATTTTAGAAAATGAAAGCTTTAAATTGACAAAATAACTCTACAGCAGGCTACTACAGTTCGCCTCCGATTCAGGATCACAGGACCTTCCCTGAAGAGGCTTGACTTTTTTCATATCAGAGCAGTGAAGAATGAAATTTCGAACTCAAAAATTAATTAAACCTGTCTCTCAACGACAACCTTTGTGCTTAGAAATTTTAACTTCGATGTTTTTCATTCTGGCTAGATATCAACGAATGTATAACTTTACATCCCTGCCAAAATGGTGGACAGTGCATAAACACACAAGGCGGCTACGAATGCAAATGCAAACCTGGGTTTACAGGAAAAAA